GCTGCGATGATCGTTGCTGTTGATCGGCTGCTTGATCGGCTGACCAGGGTAGCCACCGCGGCCGCCGTAGGGCGGCTTGCTGTCCGCGGGCTTAAACGAAGCCGCCTCGTTGTTGTTGGCTTCCGCTCGACGAGCCGGACGACGAGGAAGACGCTGAGTTTGATCCCCTGGGCCCACCGGGCTTCTTGAACTCCTGCCCCGCGGACGAGGAGCAGCCTCTGGAGGAGCTGCCGGAATTGGACCTGTGATGGGAGACGCTCGACGAGGACGTCGAGCTGCCCGTCGATATGCCGTCGACACCGATCAGACGCTTGGAATCGTCCAGCAAGTGCTTAACCAACGAGTAGCTGCCCAGCTTGGATTCGATTTCAGGATCAGGCGTCGTCTGCAATGAAGCAAAAGCGAAGGAACATGAATAAGGGAGTCGAAATCGAGACTCAACGTCATCACCTGACAGTTGAAAAGTGCACTTTTGCGTAACACGATAAATACGTAATGAACACCTAATTAACGTTACGTAACCTAATTGTCCGCTGCTCGCAATTGTAAATAAAGAGGTTGCGCAGCGAGTTGTCTACCGCCGACTCATATTTTAATGTCAGGGATTCCGAAGGGGTGAGTTATATCACCAATTATTACATTTTTAATTAATAGACCAGCAAGTTCACAATTAATTTAATGAATCTCGCGTAGAGCCGTTAAATGCCGCTTAAACTTTCCACCTTTTCAAGAAATTGATTTTCGTCGGGAGATCGCGGTGACAAGTCACACCTTAAATGATTCACGCTTGAACGGCGTTGTGTCGGCTCGAAGAGTAACGTAAGGGTGGCAACGTAACGAATCAATCATGTCGCGGTGGCGCTCCTTAAGCTCCCTCTCGCCCCCGTCATTTATCAAAGAAAGATCAGCGGCGCGCGCGAGAGAGAGAGAGAGAGAGAGAGAGAGAGAGAGAGAGAGAGAGAGAATCACGATCGAAAACCGCAGTCGCCGCTATACAGTCGCGGCGCGAAACACTCGTCGAGTTTCATTCCGCGCGTATAACATATGTATGTATGCTCTCTTCGGTCGCGCGCTGATTGCACAGGCAATTAGCAAAAATTAATGCGTCGGAGGAGCAGGCGGGCGGCTGCCGAGTTCACGACGCACAATGTTCGACTAGTAATTTAGCGTGTAGCGCGCGCACGCTAATATGAATCACGTTGTACGTGCGCAATAATACAACCGCTGTTCTCGCCGAGCAGCGCGCTCGGCTCACTGCTCTCGGCAAGCAGCCGCGCGTTTCGCCTTTGTCCGTTAAGGACAATGAGATCGAATCGCGGTTTAATAAGGAGGTCGACGTGGGGGACGGCGGGGAGGGCGCGCGCGCGAGCGCGTGAGAGAGAAAGAACTTAACGTGATTAATGAGCGCCGCTATAAATCACGTCCGCTTGTTAGCGCCGGAAGACTTTTTCGCGCCGATCGCCCTCATAATAAAGGCGGCGCGCCCCCTTCGATGGATGCGCCCGAGTCGGAATTTCGGAAAGCAGCGGCTCCAAATTCTTGCGCGTGCTCGGACGAATAATGACACCAGGCGACGACGGGGACAATGGAATTGTCGAGAGCGATTGTTAGCGCTGATTATAGCGGCGGGACGAAAAACACCGCGGCCGTTGAATCTTACGTACTGTAATATCGCCCGACTTGAGTCACGAATGTCCCGATAACATTCACGAATAGCATGAATGTGAACTGTAATGTAACCGATATCAATGAAAAATATAAGTATATAGATAAAATGAGTGAAAACTTTTCCACTTTTTTATTCAATTTAAAAGAAATGTTTTAATAGAAATGTCTCCATTGATATTTCCTCCTAAACCATCGCACAGTGGGATGAATCTTTTGTTCTAAACGCACGACAGGGGACATTGACGTGTCTCGCTAATTAAGCCCCGAGGTGCCGCTCCTCCCACAAAGTTTGCGGTAGCGTAAACGCGAGAGAGTGGGCGAGTGAGGGAAAAAGACGTGGCGTAGGTGACCAGGTCAGGAACTTCTCATCCGCCCTGACCTCGCTCAACCTCGTCCGGCCTCTCCGCCTCCGGCCAGTCAGTCAGCCACCCCCGCCACCGCAATCGAGTGGCAAGTACTCCACGTGTGCGCCGGCGGCGTCACCACCCGTGCGTACACTCGCGCAAACACGTACGACTCGTAAAACAGGCACACGCGGAGCGGCGTCCCGTTATCAGCGTAAACGTCGTAAAACCTCCGTAATTATAGCGCGTCGTAACCCAACTGCCATATTGCGAAAGATGATACCCCGCCGACGATGAAAATGCACGTCGCCCGTGTGCGAGGGAAATCGATAAACCCTGGCTCTGGCCTGCCGGCGGAAACTTGCTAAGCTTCGGATACGCGGAGTGCTAAATGACTTGCGACGGGATTCCGGGAGCCCGGCGGATTGCAGAAAGAAATTAATGGAAAATAAAAATTCATCGAGCATTGTGAGAGAAGGAACGGCGACGGCGAGTGTTCGCCGAAGAGAAATTGTTCGGGAGTTTCGGAGCGAACGCTCGTGGTGTGTCTTGCAGTTTCTCGGAACACTCCTAATATCGCATTTATCCTTAGAATTCTACGCATTCTTCATAAAACAGGCTGCATATAAATCTGTCCATGAATATCTTAAATGAAAGAAAAATGAAATCGGAAGAATAGCCAGGAGAATGGATCTCACGGTTTCGCGAAATAACGTCGGATTCCTCCTCGCGCACAAATGCACACGCGCGGGTGAACAATTTCCCTCAGCTGCGTGAGTGAATTCCGCGTATCGCGAGTGCAGGCAAATATCGACGCCGTGATATCTGCACGCGAACGCACGACCGTCACCATGCGCGGTCGTGCGGTATTTATGAGTCTGTGCGAACTCGCAAATGGATAAAAGCGGTCCGCGCGCGCGCGCGCGCGCGGACGTCGCCACGCGGATCGGGCGCGGATGTCCGATTGAGCTTTGATCCACTTAACTGACACACCGCGCCCCATCGAGCGCACGTTCGAAATTCGTTGCGTGTGAAATGAGAGCGTTTCGCTGAGATGCTTCGGCACGCGAGAATTACGCCGCGCAGTCGCCGTTAAACTAAAGTTCTTTTTCGTTTTCTTCAAATTTTTTTTCCATATTCTTTCCCACTTCTCAGTTTGCGAGGAAAAAGGATCGGAGATGAACTTAATTAATAAAATTGAAAACTTTCGTGCTAAATTAATAATTGGAAACCTGAACCGCGGAGAACTTAGTCAGCGCGAATGACGCTGTTTGCAGAATTGCGTGTATACGCGCGACGTACATCGGCTATGTTTACAATTCACTAATCATTACAATCGGAATGTGCGAGTAGTGTTTGAATGCGATTTATGCACAAAGCAACTGATGTCTGTGAGCACCGCTAAAGATCCATTGCGGCACAATGCGCTTTGTTGCGGCATGAATGACCCGCGGGTATAACTTCTCGCTGAGAGAAAAAGCTCGGAAAAACCTGGATACTTCCGCATCCGCGTCCGAGTTAAGCTTCTTATTCCTGAAGAAATTCGACAAAGCCTGCGGCTACTCGCTCGCCACATAATCGTAGAAAGTATTGCATACTTTTCATAAAATATATATGTATATATGTACATAATATAAAGCTTAATGCAGCAAAATCCTCCAGAATGCTTGGGAGCTTAAGCTCTTTCTCTAAATTTAATTTAGTTAATTTTATTTATATTATTCTTCATTATACTTTAATTATCCTATTTTAAACACCGCTCGCACACAAAAAACTTTTCTTCAGTAGAATATCTATCTCGAAAAACTCAAGATGCCAAAGCAAAGATAAGCACCGTTGATTAAAAACAGTTTAATTGAAAAGAGGCATTACAAAATTACGAAAGGTTCATTCCGTTCGTCCGAGTATTCGCTGTTTGCCTTTGATATCGTGCGACAAAAGTTCGGTATCACGAGGGACAAAAAACATCGTCGGGGTCGCGATTCGGGAGGATGAAGAAGGATTTAAACGACCTTTCTCGCATCTCCTATTCCCACTTTCTCCCTTTTACGACGCGCGCACGTCCACATAAATATAATGGTCAGTACATGAAAAAAAGTGCGAAAAAAAAAGGGGAAGGTCAGATCGGAGCGCGGAGGGTCAACGAACCGCTCCGCGGAAGGCGGAATGTCATTTTCTGCGGTTTTTACCGGAGGCGGCCGCAGTAGTTGTAGTCTGCGTCAGTGAAAAATGTTAAATACAAAACGACCGGCAGCGAAACGAGAACTTTTCAAATAATGCACTAATGTCAAATTAAAGGGTCGAAGATAATGAAAGCTGTTCTACAAAATTACTGCTTTTAAATTAAAAAAAAAAAGAATTGGATAAATAAATAACAAACAAGAAATTCTGTGATTACAGACGAAGAAATATAGAACATAAAACACGATCAACAATTTCCTTACTTTAACTTTAAATTACACACACAAAGTGCCAGCACAAAGTTATATTAATCTAATAAAATAACGTCGACGCGATGATATTTAATTATAAATATCAGAAACAATTATAATAAATGTAATAGTAATAGTATTTTTTTTATCTAGCACTGTGCCGCGTAAACGGAGTACTGACCACTCTCGTGAGGACATTGTAATGGCGATTGATTTACTTTTTTCGCGAGTAATTCGTCCGGAACGACGGACGCGAGGCGTGTAAATTCGCCTTGAGCGACGAAAAAGCCGCAATAATTTCGACGACGAGGCAGGTGGATGTCTCGTTTGAGGTTACGTGAGCCGCGGCACGTACGCTCCTTTCTTCTCTCCCCCCCCTCCCCCTCCCCCTCGATCCCCTGCCCTCGTTCTCTCTCTCTCGCTCACGCCCGAGAGAAAGATATATTTCGCTCGACGGCGCGGCGACGGCGAATGTACTTGCCAACCGTTCAGACTGGTGCATCCTCCGAGCTACTCCGCGCTGCCAGTTCATCTGACAGCTGCGGCAGGACCGAAATCTCTATTCCGCCGAGAGAACCGTCGTTAAACCATTAGTATGAGCGCTGCGCTCAGATCGGAGATTATTCGCTTCTTACGCGCCGGTAATACGCAATGTCTCGTTATCTCGTTCGCTCTTGCTTCCATTTTCCGCAGGATTTACAGAGGAACGACTCGCGAACCATGAAAAAGTTTCACTAACGAATCATCGGCCAAATCAATCCTATTAAAATAAGAGAGATAATAGACATTTAAAATACATAATGTATATATTATAAATCTTACCGTTATATTTCTTCACATTTTTCAATATTTATCGCGCTTTTATATCAATTATTCGTCTTCTTAATGCTATACGATTTGTTGAACTCGGTACTCTGCAAACGCAAAGACGAAATTAGAAG